TAGAGTTAACATATTCAGTTGTATGGATATTAGTTTGTAACCCTGGGTTTCACGCTTTTGCGGTCAGCAGACAAGTTTGTCTGCTGACCACAAAAACGTGAAACCCAGGATTACAAACTACTATCCATACAACTGAATATATATATATATATATATATATATATATATATATATATATATATATATATATATATATATATATATAAAACGATATATAGTTTTGCACAATTTTATATATCAACAAACAGTAAAACTAAAAAATATGACAAACTGGAAAGTTTTTTGTAACGCCTTTCTTCCGTCAACAAAGTCCATTCTGATGGAAGGAGTCACAAAAAAACTTTCCAGTTTCATCATCTCTCTCTCTCTCTCTCTCTCTCTATATATATATATATATATATATATATATATATATATGTGTGTGTGTGTGTGCATGTTATTTAGTTTTATATAGTAATTGTCTGATGAATTGAGGATCGAACCCGACATCCACTCCTTTCGAGACAACTACTTAAACCGACGCCCAATTATAAGAACTCATTCTCCAAAATGTAAAGCGAATAATTAGCGTCCGCGTGACGTAATTTGTAGACAAGCATTTAGCAGAAATATTTTGGCCATGTCGTAAGGTTACAAAAATGTTAAACGCTCCCATACAAATAAATGGATAAGCTTATCAGAACACGAGAGAAGGAGAAGCATCGTCTCACGTTACTGGAATTAATTCGGGTGTATGAGAGACAAAAATATGATAAGTTTAAAAAAAAAGGATGGTATTGTTAATGATAGTTAACCTATATTTAATCTTAATTTGCAGCATTTTTACTTTATATATATATATATATATATATATATATATATATATATATATATATATTATTTTTAATATGTATATATACTACTACAATTTCTCCTACTACTACTACTAATAATAAACAGTACGAGCTTGTGCCTTGCAGAACAATTGTAAAGTTGTAAAGCCCACTATATGGTGGGACTTATTTTCAGACAGACAGTCATACACCATCTCCATCCGGATATTATTGTGTTAGTTAAAGGCGCCAAGAACTGTCATATTATTGATATTTCCAGACCAAATGACACAAATATAGCAAACAAGGGATTGAGAATATTACAAGCTATTCTGATTTGAATGTTGATATGGCAAGATTATTTGGAATGCAAGAGAGGAATGTTAAGGTGATTGCAGTGGTGATCGATCCCATTAAAACTGTGGGACTTCCTTAACCAGCTAGGCGTACCATACCAACATGAAAGTCATTCGAAAATCGGATCTTTTTTTATTAGCTTAAATAACCTCCATCGCTTACGTATTCTTAACATTTTTTTAAATTGAATATGATCGAGCTTGTTTTATGCGTATTTACAAAAAATATTCACAACTATCAATTACATTAATTTTTTTGTCTTAGCAATTCATTACTGAAGATGATCTGGGATGAGGTTGAAAGTACCTGGGAAAATAAAAGAAATAACCCAAACTACGGTGTCTTTCGTAATCATTCTAGTAACAGCACTAAGAAATTGATCCGAGAATTTGAGAGGATTAAAATAAAATAAATAGACATAATATGTCTAGATCATTTAACCAAAAATGAATGAAGATATACTGCCTAAATACTATATATATATATATATATATATATATATATATATATATATATATACGTATATGTATACGTAACGACGGTGTTAATAGTTCTCGGGTTGGCCTAGAAGGGATATAAAAATGCAATCTGATGTTTGGATCACCATTTGGTCAGATTTTCGCAAGTGGATTGGGTCGAGAACTTTTTGGCACTGCCATATCTCTATATACAATGACGTGCCAAAAGTTGTGGGTTAGGTGCCTGCATGATCTTTCTAGCCTCTAGGGCAGCATTTAGCAGAAATATTTTGGCCATGTCGTAAGGTTACAAAAATGTTAAACGCTTTCACACAAATAAATGGATAAGCGTATCAGAACACGCAAAGGTGTGGTATGAATTCCACAAGTGGTTAGAAGACTCACGGACAAATATTGAGCCTTGCAATTTCCATAGCTATCTACAACGACTTCATATTAGTAGAGGAATAATCTTTGAATGAATACATCGCTCTGATGTCAAATGTCACTAGAATTTCAGTGATGGAATGCTTCATCCGTCTGGTATCCACTATGATGCTCTGTTCGACCTCTGATAATTCAGCCTTGCCGTTGTTTACACTGACTCACCACATGTCAGATCACATCTGATAAAGGTCTGCGCATTTCTGTGACGTTAAGGTACAGTGGCGTTATACTTTTATATATTACAAAATATGACTATGTGTGTGTGTGTGTGTGCATGTGCATATGAATGTAGAAGGGTATGTGAGTGTGTGCATATGCGGTATATATATATAATATAGAAACACCCATATATATTATTAAAGAAAATGGCTACATTCATGATTATTTTATTTACTTTGAACTTTTTATTAAGGCGCCACAGCACAAATCGCATCGAGTCATCAATACATACATACATACATACATACATATATATATATATATATATATATATATATGTATATGTGTGTGTGTGTGTGTGTGTGTGCGTGTGTGAAATATTGTAATTTCTACTGTGGCAGTCATTACTGAGAACCAATGTGGTATCTGTGTGGTATTTAGAAGCCCTTTGTCTACATCCTGGTTTTCTTTGAGAAGCTGGATGTTTGAAATGATCTGGCGTGACGTCATGTGTAACGGCTATTGGGATACACACACACACACAAACACACACATACATACATACATATATATGTGTGTATGTGCATGTGTTTTGTATGTTTGTGTCTGTGCATACGTGTGTTTTGCGTGGGTTTACGTCAAATGTATTAATAACTTGAACTTACCACACACACGCACACACACGCACACACACATAAATATATATATATGTGTGTGTGTGTGTGCGTGTGTGTTTGAGTGTGTATGTGTGTCTGTCTGAGTGTGCGTAATTGCGAACTCAAGAGATAAGGATTTCAGTCATCGTGATTTTTTTTTTTTTTAAGTGGGAATGGGGACGGGCTGCTAAGGAATGGGTGAATTTTTGTTTATCGACACCGTTAGATTGACTAAAAAAGCTAAAAAGCTTTCATTTCACCATTAGATGAGGACATATGACGATGAACTAGCACAACTATTGACGACTTACGAACGGTTTCCTCTATCCAATACCATTCGTAGGGTTTGCGTCAAACTGTGGTGTGGTTTTCGGGTACTTTCTAACAGGTCGGCATGCTAGGATTGCCTCGCCAGGCCGATAACAGCAAAAAATCATCATCATGCCGTCTTTTTTTTTTCCGCTTGCGACAGATTTCGAACTCAAGTGACTTATTTCTTCTTTAAGAATTTCAGCCATTGTGAATTTTTAGATCGATATATCCATACGAGGAACCAGGCTGCTGGAAGGTTTGGCTGTTTTGATCGACAAATCATCTTTAGACAGATGGCCAACCAAGGCTAAAGCGCTTCTATCATCCAATTAATTAAGGACTGCGCACTAGCACATCAGCTTCCTTCATCCAATTTCACTCCACAAGACACAAGATCAAACATTTTCCAACAGTATAGAATGCTGGGACCTTCTTCACTAGGATGATAACACCAAGATCATATAGTCAGTTATGTGCCATGCGTGATATACATTTAGACGATCATGTATCTTTCGATACATAACTGATGAGGCAGATTTTTTTCCCGCAATAGGTTGCCATTTCTTTCTGCGGTAGACTAGTTGCCATCCAAGGCTATAGAACCTGGTATGTCCTGCTATTTGCCCATAGCTGGCGGAAAGGGGGGGGGGCGGAGAAGAAGAGGATTCATACCTTTCCCAAGTGTATTAGCCCGTAAGTGAATATAATAGATTCTCCGATCCCTCAATCCGAGCCGCTAGCTATTATTCCAACCTGCCTCATAAGTTGGTTAATTAACCATGATAAGATTTGAACCAGGGTCGAAACGCTAACAGTAATCTTTCTGTCACGCGGTAATATTGCGATTTATTAAGCGTTGCTGAAAGCATGAAGTCCCCAGTGAGGATCGAAACTACGACCGAGACAAGCTTGCTAACCATTACACTACGTAGAAGCGCCCTAGCATAGCTTACTTGTGGTACAACGTCTAGATTAAGGAACACCCAGTGAGTTTCGAACTCAATACACAGTCGTAATTGATCTAGCGAGACTACCATTATATAACACCCCAGTGATATATACCACACGGTGATATATATTGTTTAAAATTAGATATCATTATAGGGGAATAATATCCAGTATCAGGTATAGAGATATTTAAAATAAGGTGGACATAGAAATCATTTTAATAATGTGAACATAAACATAAATAGTTCATACCTGAATGTTTATTTTTTTGTTCGTCTTTCTTTCTTTCTTTTTTTCTATTGCAGTTGGTTCACATCGAACTATCTATTGTAATCAGTTCATATCTATCTATCTATCTATCTATCTATCTATCTATCTATCTATCTATCTATCTATCTATCTCAGTCTGTTCATGATCTATCTATCTATCTATCTATCTATCTATCTATCTATCTATCTATCTAACATGGGTTTTTTGCAGACTTTTATTCCAAATCATATTTCATGTATATATATATATAAAGTTGACTCCACTATACTCTATATATTGATTGATTGATGCATTTTCGACGCCTTACCGACCATTTGCAGGTTATTTAAAGCCAGAAAATATTTTCATATTGTAAGAATTTATTTTTTGAGATAATAATGGCTTAGTAATACAAGTCTTACTAATTAACCCATAGCTAGAGGTAGAAGAGATGGATTCATAACTTTTCCTAATATTGCGAACCCAACTGGAATCGACTTTCCGATTAACAATTTTGAGCCATTATCGATTACACCATATAAAATATTGTTATCTGTTGATTTACATATAATTATAAAATTTAACGTACCCAAGGTTTTTATATATAAGGTTTTATATATATATATATATATATATATATATATATATATATATATATATCCAAGTATAGGATTGGTGTATACGGAATAAATTCAATAACCAACAAATACCATTCTTAAAAAGGTGCTCAATAGTAGAGCAAATATATTATTTATTCGAAAATCATAACATAAATATGTTAAAATTACTACAAAAATAGCCATTTGGTTTCAACATCTCTAGTGTCTTATCAAGTGATGATGTTGAATATATATATATATAAGACACCGAGTGTGTTGAAACAAAATGGCTATTTTTGTAGTGATTTTATAACATATTTATGTTATAATTTTTTTATAAATAATAATTATATTGGCTCTACTTTGTATTGAACACTCTTTTAAGAACAGTAATTGTTGGTTATTGGAATTCATTCCGTATATACTAAATTACCACTGATATATATATATATATATATATATATATATATATATATATATATATATATATATATATATGAAATATTGTTGATAATGTTGATTTAACATACAATTATATAATTTAACGTATATATATATATATATATATATATATATATATATATATATATATATATAAAATAAAGTGAATATTGAAGTCAGCACTCAGAGGCGACAGGCTGTTTTACGTTAGACACAATCGTCAGGCAGCCTGACGATTGCGTCTAGGATGAAACAACCTGTTGCCTCTGAGTGTTGACTTCAATGTTTACTTTTATATTTATATTTACATACGCTCTATCTCTGATATTGAGAACTTTATCCCATAAATATAGCACACCTTAAAACTATATTTCTTCATATATATATAAAATATTGTTATCTGTTGATTTACATACAATTATATAATTTAACGTAACTCAAGGTGTAAGATTTCTTCCAATAAAGTGGTCGACATTTGCCTAGACCAATAATTATAGAATCAGAAGTAATAGAATTCAATACATATTATTGAAAGTTGACATCGATAAGTATTGAAGTTTTAGTTCAATAATTTTAGTTTTTCAAAGCTTTTGACCAATTTTCAGTTTTCCGGTGAAAATCCGATCATAAATTGTACAATATTTTCTCTCGGAAACCAAATAAAATCGTCCGAACCGTAGGAAAATTAAATAAAAAATTTATTAAACAAAGAACTTTTGTTGTTCTTAACTGATATTTCGTTTATATATATATATATATATATATATATACGGGACTAAAAAAAATGATAGGGAAAACGCTAGTTGTAGAATTGGATATAATAATAATAAAAAAAAATGAAGAAAATCAGAGATGAAACTGAAAATCATAGAATTAAAGAACGTGAATAGATTAATAAACAAAAGGAATTACATTTTTTTTATAACTTTACACGCTGACGCATTTCTTGTGAAAAACGTGAAAAAGAACTGTAGAGCTCGAGATCGTCTAAGGGAAACAAACAGACACCCATTTTGAAAATGTGCACAGCGTGAAACAGATTAGTAATGCCTAAATAATATTTTACACACACACACACACACACACACACACACACACACACACACACACACATATATATATATATATATATATGTTATAATGTCGAACATCAATACGGCCGAATAAGTCTTCCATCCAGCGATGTTTCACTAGCTCAAGTGAGCTAGAGGGAAACATCGTTACCTACCTAATGGGCTTGTGCAAATGGATGAGTGAACAGGGAGTAGGGGATAGTAAGACATTGCGTAGAGCTACAAAGGACAGAAAGTCGTAGAGAGTCATAATCGATCACCTTTTGAAGGAACATGTCACCGAGAAGAAGAAGAAGAAGAAGAAGAAGCCTAACAAAGAGAATAGCGACTCACACAGTTATCTCAACTACCCTTCCACTTTTCAAGACTAACTAAAAGCGACTTCTTTCAGGGTCATCATCAACAGCATTCTCCCTAAGGCTTGAAATGTCCTCATTTTCAATGACGGTTTTAGTTTTGGCTAAAGCCCAAAATCACAGGGCAAAAAATCCAGTCTGTAGGCCAGTGTTGGTAGATTTGGATGATGCGACATTTTGTCACAAAATCTCTACAAGTGACATGAAGAATAGGTTGAATACCTTTGAAATGGTTGAATCCCTTCCGGACACTGCGTGGAACCCCCAGAATCAATTTCCTTTTCGGGCGTTCTAGCTTCCATATTGTAAATCATTTTCAATCGATTCGCGGCTAAATTTGAATTGTCGTTATCTAAAGTTGTATCTGGATTTCGCTCTCTGAAGTCAACCCGAAAACATTCTTAATCTTTCAGATAGTTTTTAAAGATGAATGTCCATGTGTTAAGCAAAATATTGCATAAATGCGATGGTCACATAAGTACTCAGTCTTAGTCAATGGCATCTACTCGGACTAACTACATTTCTTGGGCTGACCTTCACGGCTAAGACCCGCCATGCCACTCATATTATAGCAAACCACCCTCATTCCCTCCATATTCAAATGGTGAGAAGGAAGTTCAACTCTAACAGAT